TACATCTTAAGGTTAATTTGTAGGGGACTGATCAGTTTACCTAGTTATCATATGTTTGAATATTCTAGAAATTAATAAATGTGTTTGATATGTATTTTATGTTTCATTTGTTTAATTTAGTGTAGTTTCTGTGGTCTGTCATGTCCCTCCATTTGTTTGAGCCGGGGGGGGGCCTTTTAAGAAACATGGTTTACATGGAGTTTACTTGAATTTGGAGTTATTGATTTTCCCTTTACATAGGTTACTCACAACGCAAACCTAAAAAGTTAAATTGTACTATACCACTATACGAATGTTTATAAGAATGTCGAAATGATATATGAATATTATGAAATAGATTTTGAATGTGAATTATCTGATTTTGATTTTTTTTTTGTTAATTTATCTGGCACCACAGTGAGTCAGTTAAGTTTAAGTTATAATGGAATAAAGTATTTAAAATAGAAACATAATTTTTTTTGGATATAACATAGAAAATCAAACTAAATTAACTGAGCAATAATAAAGTACACACAAAACAGCAGAAAAATCCCTCACTGAAATGAATAGAAAACAAAGCGTTTGTAAGCAAAATGCATGAAATCAGACAAGCAAAGCACAATATCCAAATGTACAAAACATAAACATAACTTGAAAATTGCAAAAAAGTACTCATCGAAACTCGTACAATCACAAAATGGTGGCCACACCACGTGCAAAAAAGAAAGCAAAATATAAGCCTGTTTGGGGCTTCTATAATTAAGACACAATAACACGCTGAATAAATACTAATTCAGAAGTCAAACAACAAAAATCAGCGTTATATTTACAAAATTTTCACAGGACTAGTTTCGATGGTTTTACCGAACCACCATCTTCAGCTGCAAAACCGCAAATGAACAAGATAGGAAATAATGATTAGATAAGAAAGCCTGGACAAGAATAAGCAAGTGGCGCCATCTGTTGGCGAAAACCAGAACTAAAACATAATTTCTCTAAAAGCCGAAAGGCAAATTTGGATTGGAATTAGGATCGTTAACTAGAACAGAAAGATTTTTATGAATGTGAAATGCTCTTGCCTCTAGAAAATCCAGTTCTCCAATGGAAGATGTTTTTTGAATAATTTTGGCAGCAGAAAAATTGAAAGTGTGATTTTCGGACCAGCAATTTTGAGCAACAGAAGACTTCTGTGTTTCCTTTTTTTCTAACATATGCCTCATGTTCTTTGATGCGGAATTTTAAGGCTCTCTTAGTTTGGCCAATGTAAATTAAACCACACTGGCAAGGAATCCTATAAATACCCCAGGAATTCATATCCGGAATGGGGTCCTTGAGTATAGAAGTCGGAATTTTATTGATGGGAGAATAAACAACCTGAAAGTTAAATTTCTGCAAAATATGTGCAACTTTATAGCTAATTGATGGAAAGAAGGGAATGACAACAGAATTTTTATAATCTCCTAAAATGTATTCCTCTCCTAAAAGTGGTATTACTTTCTGCCCTATTGTATCAAATTTAGGTAATGCCTCGTATCCATTAGCTAAATATTTAGTTTCTAGATTTTCCACTCTATTAGACAATAACATTTACACCACAAAAAATTCAATAGAGTTTGTAAAAAAGGTTAAAAACATATCTCCTAGTAATTTATTCATGGTTTCTTTTGATGTAAAATCATTATTCACCAATGTCCCAGTGGAGGGTGCATTAAGATGTCTAGAAACCAGACTTCGCGAATTTCATTTCTCTTGCATCGAAATTGATGAGCGAATTTCTCTCACTCAACTCTGTTTGAAACAAACACATTTTGTTTTCCAAAATAAATATTACAAGCAAACTGAGGGATTAGCCATGGGAAGCCCCCTTAGTCCCATCCTGGCTGATATCTACATGCATTATTATGAATCAAAATTGTTTGACTTTAAACTTCCCGGCATGGTTCCACTACGTAGATGATACTTTTACCCTGTTTGAAAGTAATAAAGATGATTTAAATAAAGTTCTTTCAACAATGAATTCTATTGATCTTGCTATTCAGTTCACTTTTGAACTTGAGACTTGCAATTCTCTTCCGTTTCTCGACATTCTGGTCCCACGTAACACATCCAACTTCAGTACTACAGTTTACCGTAAACGTTCATCGGTTTGCCTTCCACCACACTTTAAATCATGTCATCCGACTAAACAAAAGTTAGCTTCATTTTATTCCTATGTTTTCCGTGCTCTTCAAGTTTGCTCCTCCAAACTAGCCCTTGATGAAGAACTAAATATTTAAAAGCAATAGCTATTGACAGGGGCTTTTCACCACCCAACATTATTAATCAAGCAGTTAAAAAAATTCTCATCTCAACACACTAAAAGCCACACTCTTTTTAGGAGATTATAAAATTCTGTTGTCATTCCCTTCTTTCCATTTAATTAGCTATAAGTTGCACATATTTTGCAGAAAGGAAGAAATTTAACTTTCGGGTTGTTTACTCTCCCATCAATAAAATTCCAACTTCTGTACTCAAGGACCCCATTCCGGATATGAATTCCTGGGGTATTTATAGGATTCCTTGCCAGTGCGGTTTAATTTACATTGGCCAAACTAAGAGAGCCTTAAAATTTCGCGTCAAAGAACATGAGGCATATGTTTAGAAAAAAGGAAACACAGAAGTCTTTTCTGTTGCTCAACATTGTTGGTCCGAAAATCACACTTTCAATTTTTTCTTGCTGCTGCCAAAATTATTCAAAAAAACATCTTCCATTGGAGAACTGAATGGATTTTCTAGAGGCATTTCACATTCATAAAAATCTTTCTGTTCTAGTTAACGATCCTAATTCCAATCCAAATTTGCCTTCGGCTTTTAGAGAAATTATGTTTTAGTTCTGGTTTCGCCAACAGATGGCGCCATTTGCTTATTCTTGTCCAGGCTTTCTTATCTAATCATTATTTCCTATCTTGTTCATTTGCGGTTTTGCAGCTGAAGATGGTGGTTCGGTAAAACCATCGAAACTAGTCCTGTGAAAATTTTGTAAATATAACGCTGATATTTGTTGTTTGACTTCTGAATTAGTATTTATTCGGCGTGTTATTGTGTCTTAACCAATAATTTATCGGCGACAAGCACTTAAGCCGCATATAATAAAGATATTTATTTATTTCATTTTATTTGTTTTTTCATCATTGCCAGTTGCATATTTCCGAATTCTATTATATATAGATGTTAAATTTATTTATTAAATGTTAAATGCACGTGCTTTTGTATTTTTAAATTTTCTGGCTTAGCTTTCTCATAATATTCGTCACGTGCTGCACTGCACTGCACAGGGAATAAAACAATTTACAGTTACACAAGCAACCAATAAACAATCGGTGACAAACAGATGTTAAATTTATTTATTAAATGTTAAATGCACTTGTTCTTGTATTTTTAATTTTTCCGGCTTAGCTTTCTTGTAATATTCGTCATGCGCTGCACTGCATGGGGAATAAAACAATTTACAGTTACGCAAGCAACCAATAAATTATCAGCGACAAACACTTAAGCCGCTTATATATATATATGTATATATAGGCCTCCCCATGCATTTCACTGTTGTGATATTAGATAGCAGATGCATTTTGTGAAGAGAGTTATTTGATCTCTTGTTCCATTTAAACTATATGATAATATTTTTCTGCTTTTAGTTCATTAATTATTTTATGATTTTTAAACAAAAGCTTACACGAAAAATGTTTTTTATTTTAATTTCCCTGCTAGAATTATTTTTGCATGCACTATTTAGTATGCGCTGCTTAGAGGAAAGATTGCTGTTCCATCAGAAATGGCAGATTCGCTGAAAGAATTCGCTGAATATGTTACTTTATAAATGCAACATTAATGTTACTAAAATTGGCCTACTCAGAATAATGATATCCTCCACATTACAGCCATATTCGTCTCAGTGCTTTGATTTCAAGAATATATCTTATATACCCACATGCAACTAGTACATATCTCTTTAAATACTTTTGTAGTGCATTGCAGTTCCTTCTAATTCTTTTTTTAATGCTATTGCATCCCAGAATGCCTTTTGCATCAAAGCGATAGTTTCACTGAGACTTCAGTGAGCGGTCAAGTGCCTGTTAGCCATGTTTTTTCTTAGAACTAAGCGAATTGCATGATGCAGTGTGGGAAATATCCCCATTTACCCTGCTCGAGAGAGGTAGGAGCATTCTACATTACATTTCAACAGGCAATAAAATCTTGTTCGCCACGTGAATGGGACAAATAGGGAGAACCAGTTTTTGCCACTAGTCGAATCATCTCTTTTGAATAGAGCTCAAAAATTATTATCATTCTGAATAAGCGTAAAATTTTCGGTTCACCTAGCCAGTTATTTTAAAAGAAATCTGCAAACCATAGCAGAACGCAGAGAGAAGCCATAGCAGCAATAGTAAACAGACATAAGCAGTAAAATTCTGTTTCTTCTTCTTCTTCTTCTTCATTTTTTTTTTAATAGTTTGTGTAGCTTTAAATTAAGTGGATTAAAATATAGCATTAGGCTGACAATTGTTTATTAATAAAAATCTTAATAGACCAAACAATTATTCAAGTCTAAATCAAACAATATTTCCTTACTAATGAGTATAATTTCACGTTTTTTGATTTTTACTTAAAGAAATATCAAATTTGACAAGGATCCTAAAAAATTTGAAAAAAGTGACAGCATTTAAGTAAAATCATAATAGCAGTTTTATTAAATATCTTGGTAATTATATTAATTTGTGTGTGAATAATTATACTGTTTCTCTATTAAACGTATTTATTGTTTTGTTTAAAGAAAATTTCATTATATTAATATGCACTTGATTTGCATCTGAAATTAAAACAAAGTCATTAAAAGTTACTTTGTTCTCCTCATTGTTGTCTAGAATGATGTCAAAAGAGTTTTCTCTTAACTTTTTTTATTTTTAGAGATTTTATGAAAAATGACCTTTTAATAATTATATAGTCTTTGATTTATTTCCTGAACATATGCATTTATTTTTCAGGGAAAATTTATTGCAACAGGAGGTGAAGATGGTGTTGTCTCTTTATGGAGTCATTTTTGATCATATTTATTTCTTCTATAACTTGTGTATATATAGATAAAATAAAAGTGAATATTTTAATTGAATTTATTTTAATTTTCTTAAAAAAATCTCTTGAATTTACAAAGATTTTGATAAATTCTTTTCTAATACAATATAGTGATTTCCAGTTTCATAGTACAGTATACATAATTTGTAACCAACTGAAAAAAACTGCACATGCGGTTTAAAATAGATTTTGTTTTGAAAATTAATAGATATTATCCCCACCGTTTTTGATATTTCATAAATTTTAACAACGTTACTGTAGAATTCTGATAATCTGCATACCTTGGAACAGAAATTTGTATGAGTTAGCAGATTTTGCAGATCATGTCTCAGGTCATGTCTTTCTCAGTTTAGTTTATATTTTGCATTAAATTTGGTTTGTTTATACATAAATGACACATTCATATCTTAAGAATTATTTAATGAAGATTTACTGAGTACAAAATTATTGTATTTTTCAATATTATTGGTTACTCACAAAATATGAGTACAAGAGGACATAGTGTAGAGATAAAATAGAGACAATTTTTGAGTCAAAGATACAGATACAAGTCAAAGGCATGATAAAAATAAGATATGATAAGATAATAAGATATGATAAAAAGTAGAAATAAAATAGAGACAATTTTTGAGTCAAAGGTAGAGAGAGATGCAAGTCAAAGCTGTGAGTCAAAGATAAGATATGATAAAAATAGAGACAACTCTTTTTGTGAAAGTGCATCAAACAGTTTTATGCAAAAAAACTGCATATCCATCAAGAAAATTACAGTAAAATCTGCACTAATCAGAAAACTTGAAATGCTGAATGCTGGATGCGTGAAAATTCCAGATAATTGAGGGCATAAAAATTGGAATTTATGATATTGAAAATCAAAAGAATGAAAGAAATTTACAATCTAAAATTATTAGAACACTTATTTATAACTAACTTGAATATCAAAACGTACATTGAAAATTTATAAGATTTCGGGAAAAAATATACATTTCAGTTGCAAAAGTCAACATATTGGTTTAAGCACAAAGCATCTCATTCGATTATTTAATAAGAGAAGTGAAATATTTGTACATTTTTTATACACTTTTAAATTTTGACAATGAAAATGTGTTTGATCCAATCTTCCTATATTTATTTAAATATTTATCCCTATAAAATTTAACTGTTAAATATTGAAATTCAAGTGTATGAGTCTGTCTGAGTACATTCAACTGAGTCTTAATTTCTTATTTATACGGGGAGATTATGACATTACTAGAAACCTTTCAGAAAAATTGGTTTTAGAGCCCCAAAATGTATTTATGGAAATAATACAAAATATTCCCAGATGAAATAACCAATATCATTAACCTCAAAACAAAAATTTGTCATGAAGGCCTGGTAGATTTCACCAGCATAAAGGTCTGTGAGCTGCTTTCAAGTTCCAGTGTCAGCTTTCTCAAAGTTACTAACACTGCAAAATAATAAAGTAATTTAATATATGCAATAGGAGCTTATCCGTGAGAGATTATATAAAAATACACTAGAAATAAACTTGAGTTTGCAATAAAATAAGGTATGAGCAAAAATAATAAACAAACAAAGAAACAAAAATCTGTATACACCAAATGTGAATAGAAGAAAAAATGAAAAAGGTGGACCATTTTAGGTCGTTTTTTTGGCAAGAAAATTGGATACAATTTTGCCGATAAATAAAAACATTTACGCTATTTCATATTTTATTATTTTTTTAAAATTTTATATATAGTGCTCAATGGTTAATAAAATAAATTGCTTATTGCATTTAAATTTCCAGGAGCCAAAACAAATGTATACAAATCAATAGAAAAATTGCTGTTAATCAAACTCATCTTTGCCACTTACAAAATTTATATTGGCAAAAGACTGATTTTTTAGGGTTGGAATATCATCTGCAACCCATTTTTTAAAGATTGAATGTTCAAAACCTTTACATTAAGATACACTCATTATGTTTATAAAAGTTCTCAGAAATCTTCATGAAATGCTTCCTAATATAATCATATATTATGAGTCTTTGAATGGGAAAGTAAACGAAACATTGATTATGCTTGTATAACAAAATGAAAACTTTCTGCTGGCTGGAAACATGAGTTTTGATATTAAATAAATCATTGTAAAAAAAAAAAAAAATTAATTTGTAGTCTATGCAATTTTTAATATATTGAAAATGTGTAAGTGAAAAGATTATGACGTTCTTTGCACACGGGGTGAAAGGGGAGCTACTTTTAAACTGGGAATTTCCCAAATAGCATTGCGCAGAGAATTAAAATTGATGAAGACCAATAAAAAAAGCATGTCTCAAGGAATGCAAAAGTGACTGAAAATTGAGAAATATTGTAACTGCTCTTCTAGAATGGAATCAAGTTATGAGACTGAAAAATGTCTTTCTACAACTGTGTTCTCCATCTGGTGGTTTGGGTGCCCGTGAGCGACAATCACAATATCACCATGAGACAAAAACTTCACTCTAATCCTAATGCTTAAAATAAATAAATAAAAATGAAGGTAAAATTACATATCACTTACAGGGGTATTGCAATTGTGTTCACCTACTCATATGTTATCACCTTCATTGTGTCCCATTTCTGCGTGTGGCGGATTAGGATCAGAGTGCCCATTTTTACAAAAGTCCCGTTTGATGCTGGCACCATTGTATATCCGCACAAGCGATAAATCATCCATCCAGCTATGTAGTTGAAACTTGCTGTTCATCAATTCAGTTGAAATAAGCTAATAAAAGTTCATGGTAGTGGTACCAAACTGCACTGTTTCTGACAAGTTTTAAAATACCTCATAATCTGTATATTTTATGATGTGCTTGTCGATATGAGTGATATGCCAGGGCCACCAAAGAACAGAAAACCCATCAGTTCAACAATAAATGAAAGGAAGATTTATAAACATTGGCATTATATTATTATTTATAAACATTGTTATAAATAATAATATAATGCCAATGTTATTATAAATTTATAAACTGTTATTTATAAACATTGGCAAAAAAGCAGTTTGTTTATTATTTAGGAGCAGTTTGTTTATTTATTTAGGAGCAGTATGAGAACAATCAGATATTGAACATCATCATTAAACTATTTGTAAAGATTTTAGCTGTAAATATCCATTCAGGTAGACATAAATTTCAGTCATTAAAATCATCTCTAAAAGCTGAACAAAACAGTCTTTTTACCCTAAAAAATGAAGCAAAGAAACATACAGGGAGTATTGTGTGTTCAAAGTAAGCTGCATTCTTGTATCACATAAAAAGGCACATCCAGATGGCCTCTATGTGAAGGAAGATGTGCTGGCAATTTCAGTGTCTTTATTTTGTGAATTTAAAAACAAAAATGAAATGATCCAAATCATAAAAGATGTGCTTTTGTCCTAAAATGCAGTGGCATGATGAGTGGATGATATGTGAGATCAGATTTGGAAAGTGTTTCATATTTTCCCCTGTAGCTGAATGAATCTACTGATGTTACTGACTCGCCACAACTTCCGATGTTCACAAAAATGGGGTTTTCTGTTTTCATGCAAGAAGCCTTGTTGACCATGCTGATTTTGACAAAACAACCAACAGTATGTTCATAACTAATATTGGGTTTATTGAGCTTCATAAGCAGGATGACATATTTTCCAAATTAAATTCATACTACTGCATTACTTATCAAGATAATTTGGCTGCTGAAATGTTCAACTTCAATCACATAATGACTGCTGAAATGTTTAACTTCAATCACATAATGACTGCTTGTACGCTTTGTAAATTTTATCTGACGATGGCCTTTGAATTATTGACTTTACTTGATGAGATAGATAGTGAGTATGGTGATATAATTTATCATGCAGAAGTAAGGTGTCCGAGTCAAAAAATTTTAACATGATTTGTTGGAATGCTACGGGAGATAAAAACTCTTCTTATATCCAAAGAGAAGACCAAAAATTGGATGACATGAAGTGTGGCTTGCTGACTTAGCGTTTTTAATTAATATCACTGCAAAACTGAACAACCTAAATGCCACTTTACAAGAAAAAGCAAAACTCAAATCAGAAATGACGAGTTAATTATCTGCTATTCTAGTAAAGTCGATTGGTAGAAGAGCAGTCAACATTTTCCATTATTTATGCTTATTCTAGATCTAGAATTTATTCTAGAGTATGGTCTATCTAAACATTTTGAAAACCCATCTGTTACTGAGAATTTAAAGGAAAATTCCAAGACACATTTTATGGAACCTATTTTATAAGTTCACAAAAAATTCTTTCTTGGAATTAGATATAACTTCGTCAATGGAAAATTTTTGTTTTATTAACAAATTGGAAGCTGAATTAGAGAATATTACTCTTCATACTGATATATACGGAAAATAAAAGTGATGAAATTTTTTAAATTAATGGACCTATTAAATACAAAAACACTAACAGTGAAAGCACTTTTGGGGTCAACATACCTTTATGAGCAGGCTTCTTCATGACTTAAAATAATGGGAAGCAACTACAAATATATGTTGACAATAATATATTTCAAACTTATCAAGTAGTATTTACCACTATGATTTTGCATTAAATTGCTTGCTACCTCAAAAATCCAGAGTCATCAAATTTTGAATAATGTAGTCCTCCACCTGAATATGAGCACCTGGAAGCAGTGTTGCCAGATTGTGTGCTTTTTCATAGATTTGTGACTTTTGACAAACTTATGCTACTAAAATTTTAATATTTGCGATTTTGCCCCATCAATCATTCTCTTAACCCTTTTGTGGGCCGTGGGAAGGTTACTTACCTACATGATCCTGAGAAATACACCTGGTGGAAGCGCAAAACCCACTATTATATATTGGCTTTGGTATTATAACGTTGGGAACTCTGATTTCCACTTCAGTATAGTGCTGCCATCTGTGTTCATTCGATTGAAAACAGAATTAGCACATTTGTTTTGAAAGTTCGAACGCGTTGTGTGAGATCTGTTCCACTGAGACACCTGTTTTGATTTGACATTTGCATTGCTATACGATTCTGCTACAA